AGACAAGAGTAGCCTTTATTTCCTATATTAAATGCTATAGAGCAGATAGTCCAGTATATGAGAAGAGTGAGGGAATATATATGTTAGGACAATGTGGCAAGAGGGTGTTACATTTCATTTGAAAGAGCAATGAGCCGAGTGGTAGACCAAATAAATTTTCCTTTAAAATGATGTGAGATAGAAAGGCATGTACCTATGCAATATTAGTGTAAAAAGAAAACCTTTCTCAAATTAAATAAACATTTTAAAAATACAAAAGTAAAGCCGTAATTCTTGCCATGTACAATGGACTCTGAAAACATCAACTCTGCTTGAATTTTGTCATCATTTGACCACAGCGTTAAGCAAGCTTTGCTGTTCAACTTTCTCTCTGTGTGTAGCCAAACTGCTGTGAATACTGTAACTCTAAAATCATTTGTGACATTTGCAACAGGGGCCTCATGTCATCAGCTATTAAACCAAGTCCCATTCATGCTTTATTGCTGGTAGGCTGGCTCTGTTAACCCCTTTACTTCAGGAAGCATAGGCTCATGACCATCACATTAATAAAGGGAGATCTGAGGCATGGGTTGTGCAGGCAGCTGGTCACTCTGACAGATTTGTCCCAAACCACTCTTCAGATCCGAAGTTTTTTTGCCCACAGTTGCAGCACCTCTTATGAGGTGTCTTTGTCAATGCTCAGTCACATTTAGTGGGTGCCTCTGATTTCTGCATACCCGCCAAAATGTTTTGTGCTGACTGACACAGTACTTGCTTACAAACACAGCTGCAGCTGCCACAAAGGCCTCTTTGCATATCTGAGAACTAAGGGAACCTGCTGCAAATGGCTGAACAGGGACTTCTGCCTCAATAATGAAGCAGAAGTCTGATGGTCTTGCTGAAGTAGGCAGGCTACCGGGAGATCTTTTTTGGATGTTAGGGATGCTAAATCCACTCATATGTGTCCATGTTCCTAAGATCAGTCATGGTTTTAATACAGCTTCCACTCTATTAGTTGGAAAGTACAAATGGAGAGACCAAACGCAACCACAAGCTTCCTGGATATATATCTTCCAATCCCCAAATGCAAGAGATCAAAACGTTTGACAGGCTGAGCAGGTGAGAGTGCTATTATGTGGCTCTCACCTGACAACTGCAGCTACTGACACTGACCTCCTATATTTGACTTTTCATTAAAAGGATTCCAAAGAGAGAAAAATCTTGGCTTTGGGGGAAAATGTTTGTGGGGGAATGTTGAACTAATAATGTGGAAGATGATAGGACAGAGAAAGAGAATTAATAATCCTTAATAACTGAGGTACATCAGGAGTGTACAAGAGGAAGTGCTGAACTCACTTGGATGTGAATGTTTGCAGACACCACTGCTATCTATTATGGCTAACAGTGTGGCACAGAGTATTAATTCTACTGTACCATGAATGCTTCTCAGCTGTAAAGTGGTATTCTCCTCATTGATACACATGCCATTTGAAATGTAGTATATGGCTATATACTATTATAAGAAATTCAGCAACAGAGTAAAACAGACAAGGAATAAGTTTATAACAGACACTGGACTCCTTCAGAGCCAACTCTCTTGTGGATGCAGTGTTGCAACCCTCAAGCTCATACGTCTGAACATCAAATGACCCAGATCACAATGCAGGATCCACTATGTATCTATTGTCAGTATGACATTGTGATGGCGGGGCCTCACCCCTGGAGGCTCAGTGCAGCAGCACAATTACATCTCTACCTCAGTTTCCCCTAGTGGGATTTAATAAATCCAATGTCACTTATGCATATTTCATAGATTTCGTAGACTTTAAGGCCAGAAGGGACCATTATGATCAACTAATCTTAACCCCTGCATAACACAGGCCAGAGAATTTCTTCTATTGGTTCCTGCATCCAGCCCAATAACTTGTGGTTGAACTAGATGGAGTAAATCGTCTAGAAAGATACCACTCTTGATCTAAAAACTCCATGTGATGAAGAGTATATTTCAAGATTGGTGTGGCATGGAACATGGAATCCAAAGACAGACATTCAAAAGGTATGTTTCTATAGCCTCATAAGAAGATTCTTTAGGCCCCTGAATTGAATTTAATGGTGTGGAGGAGAGATGCAGATGTAAATTACTCTGGATCATAGATGGTTAAAAGCTCATATTGTCAAAGGAAGATGGATGCTAATTTAAACAAATATTTTGGAGTGATATACATGCTAGATGGTTTGTGTGACAAGCAGTTTTGCCTGAAGCATAGCTGAGTGGCTGCAGCCCCCCAAAGAGTGGAATGAACTGACCATAATATATGCCTTGCTATGTGTTGAGCCAATCTGAGAATACTGCCAACTACTATTTTTAATATAAGAATTGTTTGCTTTTTCCTATTTCATTTTTTCTTTCTACAAGAGACAAGATTTCCTTTTCCAGTTATGGGTAATGATATTAATAACACATATTGATAATTATTAATAATCATAGGACTGGAAGGGACCTCCAGTCTTCTAGTTCAGTACCCTGGACTGAGGCAGGACTAAGTATTATCTAGATCATCCCTGACAGGTGTTTGTCTAACCTGCTCTTAAAAACCTCCAATGACGGAGACTCCACAACCTCCCTAGGTAATTTGTTCCAGTGGTTAACTACCCTTACAGTTAGGAAGTTTTTCCTAATGTCTAACCTAAATCTCCCTTGCTGCAATTTAAGCCCATTACTTCTTGTCCTATCCTCAGTCGTTAAGAACAATTTGTCAATCTCCTCTTTATAACTACCTTTTATGTACTTGAAGACAGTTATCATATCCCCCTTTAGTTTTCTCATTTCCAGACTAAAACACACACAATTTTTTCAATCTTTCTGCGTAGGTCATGTTTTCTAGACCTTTAATCATTTTTGTTGCTCTCCTCTGGACTTTTGCCAATTTGTTCACATCTTTCCCAAAGTGTGGTGCCCAGAACAGGACATAGTACTGCAGCTGAGGCCTTACTAGTGCTGAGTAGAGTAGAAGAATTACTTCTTATGTCTTGCTTACAACACTCTTCTAATACATCCCAGAATGTTTGACTTTCTACAATATTCCATTGTTGACTAGTATTTAGTTTGTGATACACTATAACCCCCGGGCTCTTTTCTGCAGTATCCCTTCCCATGCAGTCATTTCCCATTTTTTATTTATGTGTAGTGCTTTGCATTTGTCCTCATTGAATTTCATCCTATTTAATTCAGAACATTTCTCCAGTTTGTCAAGATAATTTTGAATTCTAATCCTGTCCTCCAAAGGGCTTGCAACCCCTCCTAGCTTGGCATCATCAGCAAACTTTATAAGTGTACTCTCTATGGTGCCCCTTCAGGGGTCCAGTTCATTTAATCCAAAGGTGGAATGTTGTACAACTAGGCTGCCACCCCAGCATCTCTAGATGGAGAGGAAGGGGCTGAGTTAACTTTAGTCCATGAACCCCACTTATATCCAGGCCCCTTACTAAACAGGCCCTCTTGGCCTGGGACCATCTTCCGGAGCCAGGGCCTCTTGTCTTCATCTGAGGAAGGGTCTCTCCTCTTGGATTAAGGTCCCTACAGAGGTTACAACAACCCTTCCTTGGAAAAGCACATAATTCCCCTGATCTGAGCTTCTGTTGCTACCTGGTCAACTCCTTCCACAGGGACCAGGCTTCACTGAGGCTTGGCATTCATAGATCCTCCACTTTGGAGTCTCTGCCACCTAGGAGTATTCTACTTTGGTTTCCTTTCCTGGTGAGACCCCTTACCAGGTCCCCCCGAGAAGGCTTCCCCTTTAGGAACTTCCTTTTTCTACATTCTAGGGATAGTTCCTCTTCCCAGGAACCTCTGTTCTCTAGCCACTGGGAGTAGGTTCCTTTTTTTATGCCCAAGTGCTTCCCTATCTAAGGCTAGGTCTACACTACCCGCCTGAATCGACGGGTAGAAATCGACCTCTCGGGGATCGATTTATCGCGTCCCGTCGGGACGCGACAATCAATCCCCGAATCGACGCTCTTACTCCACCAGCGAAGGTGGGAGTAAGCGCCGTCAACGGGAAGCCGCAGAGGTCGATTTTGCCACCGTCCCTACAGCGGGGTAAGTCGGCTGAGATACGTCGAATTCAGCTACGCTATTCGCGTAGCTGAATTTGCGTATCTTAAATCGACCCCCCCCTGTAGTGAAGACGTAGCCTAATTATCTGTCTCCCAGCTACTCAGTTAATTAGTCCCAGGTGATCCCTTCCTGAGTTGCCTCATTTCCCCTTGTGAAGCCTGCCAGAGGTAGGCTGAGCCCTTGACCTCTTCAGAGGGGCCACCTATCCTCTGACGGACATGACAAACGAGACTTATGCTACAGTAATCACCAGGACATCCCACAGCTACCTAGAGTCCCCCACAGAGCATTAACCTGCCTACCATGGCACCAAGATCAGCACAGGCAAAGGTGCAAGTTAAATTGCCTTGAGAAGCTGGAACTTGCTCCCTTTTTGGGCCTGCTCTTGGAGGGGATCATACTGGTATGGAGCCCTGACCACACATTCTTTTAAGAAGGCCATACCAATTTATTCTACAGCACATATGAAATTGAGCTTCCCTAGGAACAAAAAACTTTTTTTTTTTTTTTTTTTTTTTAAGATAACTTAAAAAGTAAAGATTATTGGCTGGAACTCACAACCTTTTTGTCAAATGAGCAACATTCACCAGATCAGACATACAAGCCCCGTGCATTTGAAAATGATTCCTGTTACTCAATATCACCTAGATTAGGCACTATAATGTCTACTTTGCCATCTCCAACCACATACACTAAAAACCAAAATAATTTCAAAATAAATATACACTGCAGTTTAACATGAAAATTCTTTCTCCACAGAACATCTAAATGGCAAAATGTATGTGATAATTTCCCCAAAGTCTACATTTATCATATTACATCATGATATCAACATTCACACTAAATAGCAGTGAACATCACTTTAAAAATGACATTATTACAGTCAGTGTGCACTATTTCCTACCTTTACAGATTGGTCTCTCCAACATGAAATGAGTTTCACCAGTGAAACATTCCCAGGATCAGGGAAATGTAATACACTTTTATCTGAAAATATACAAAACGTTCTTTATGAGCCCACAATAAAATACACATAAATAACACATGAAATTTCAAACCGTCTTGCAGTATATATTTTTAAATTTTGTAATGTTCAGCAACATATCTGAAACAGAATCATTTGTCATAATTTGTTTTCATTTTATGCACAGACATAGCAGTGCAAGATATTTATATCATGTACTATATATAATTATATTAGAGTTATTCATATATGTCCCCTAACCCTAAATCTAATGGATACATTTTATTTATAAAGGGTTAGTTCATGGTGTCTATTAGAGCTCTGTGAAACTTGGTGGCTTCTTTTTGCAGAGGTTTGTGCAAACATTTTATTCTTTTTTAGTCAGTTTGCCAGTGCCCAAATAAGTCTTTCCCCATTTCAGAACTGATACTATGCACTAGCTTTCCCCAAAATTGTTCAAATAAGTCTCTCCTGATGTTTCTACGATAAGTCATGCTTAAGCTGAAACAAGGCAAAAAAGCTTTAGGAGAATATTCAAAATATGCTTAGCTATTTTTAATAAAGTCTCATATTTCAAAAAGAAGCTTGTTACACTTAACTCAAATTCCAGCAAAGAACTGACCCATGGCTACAGCTATCACATATTTAGTAAGTGAAGTGGAAATTTCCTTTCTTTGAGTATTTTAAGATGAAGGAAAAGCAGGCTTACAATATAAAAGCAAGCTTGAAATTCTAACTATGGAGAGGCTCCGGTCTCCTGCATGCAGTGAATTTCATTTAATGCAATGAAAGCTGTGACCAAAGGCTCTGCAATGGAGTTTACATACAAAGTGGAGTGGTCTAATTATTGCTGATATTTTTGGAATATCTGCACTCAAATCACTCACATGCTAAACATATATGAAATAGAAAGCAACAGTTTATTTAATCCGGATAATGAGCCAGATCCTTAGCAGATGCAGACTGGCATCATTCCATTGACTTCAACTGGAACTAAGACAACTTACATTAGTTGAGGATCTGGCTCAATATTGTTACAAGCTGACTATGATCGTCAGTGTTGTTATGGAAAAAGTTTAAAAATCATGCTATGGTTCAAAGGTTTATGGTTCCGTAAATATATTTTATGCTTATATCACATTGTCTTCTTTGGTATAATTGAAGATGTAATACTGCTATAGAAACTAAAAGGCCAGTTTTCTTCTATATTCAAGCTGAGGTCAGATTGTCTGACCTCTGGTAGCAGCAGAGGCGAATTACTGATTTATTCTAATCATGGGTATTGCATTTTATGGAAACCAGTTTTAATGTTTGACCTGGAAACATGTAGACAAGTACTTAATGTATAGTAAGTCTAAAAAATTAATACAAATAAAGTTAAAATAAATGAAAATATGCAAAGGAGAATAGAAATATTTTCTGATGATATTTTAAATGAGATGATGAGTCCATGAGGAGGAGAGACACAACAATAAGGCCATTCCAGCTGGCAGGTTCTACTATGGAGAAAGGGAGCTATTTTAAAGTGGCTGCTGAAATGAGTGTGTTGGAGGTTATGGTAATGTTTCTTCCCGCATGAGAAAAGGCAGGTGGCAACACATGGAGGGAAGGGAAGAAGGGATGTTGCATTAATCAGGGCTAAAGGTATGGATAAAATAATGGATAAAGATTTCAGCAAAGGTGGAGGAGATGTATGGATATTCATTCATATTTTACTAAATTTGCTCCTTACAGTGCTGAAATATTCAAGAACAATATAAGTATAAAAGAATAATAATCCAGCTCTTAGGGTTAAACCCTTCTATCCTTTGTAAGGTATGTGCTACACAGATAATCTCAGGCTGGTCTAAATTGTGCATCTGACTTCTCAGATGATTTTCAGAGCCAATGCATGGTCATGAATTGGCAGGACTTTCTTGTTTAATCCAGTTCTTCCTCATTTGAAATTTAACAGGCCAAAGCCATTCATCAGCTGCTTATCCCAATATTGGACTAATAAGCTTTGCTGCTAAATAGATATGTTGTTTAGAGTAAGTGGGTTGTATCAACCTTTAAAGTAACATGACAATCCCTGAATATTAATGCTGAGTAAATGTTCTGATTACAGCCCTGAATTGTATATGGTAGTATTAAAATATTGTCAGAGACCTAAAGAATCCTGATAAAACAATACATTATCATCCACATTAAAAAAAAGTTGGATTGCTGCAGTGCAGTTTGTGGGGTTTACAGAATTATGCAGATGCTTTGTGGAAAAAACTGCAAAGTCTGAGGTGGAAATTAGCACAATCTGAATTGGTTCACTATGCTTTTCAGTTGATGGCTGTGTAAGTACAATTGCACTTGTACTGTGTAAGTCCTTTTATAATATATGAAAGACAGAGATTGACAAAAGCAATCGTACGGTACTTACACAGCCATCCATCCATATATGTATAGGGAAAGAAAGAAAAGAAAGACCATGCAATGAAATTTTACAGCATGAAAGAAACAGGCACAAGAGGTTACTTAAAATTATATTTTTATTAACTGATTTGACCCAAAAAATTAAAACATTAAAGCACATGTGAGAACTGCCCTGAGCCTGCCCTAACTTTCTTCAGGGGCAGAACAGATCCCTTTGCAGCCCCATTCTATAGCAGAGGGGTGGTCCCTAGAGGGAAGAAGGGCTAAAGGAGGTGTATATCCAACTTTGTCCTTCACTCTTGTCCTGTGCCAAAACACCAGACTTGTGAGTTGGCCCCAGTCAGTGCAAAGAGAGTGTAAAATGGTACCATTCTGATTTGGTTGTGTTTACCCATCCACTTTGTACAGATATAAATCAGTATACAAGATGCAAGGTACAGAAGAATCAGGCCCTGGGATTCTGAAGGGAGGCAATGTCTCCTTGATGTCACAGGATGTGGAGCGGGTACTCACTCTTGGAAAGACTGTGAGGTCTCTATTGCTCAGATCCAGTGGTTCTGGTTTGCAGATCCAGACCAGAGGTCCAGAGAGAAGGGGTCATCAAACTGAAGAGCCCAGGGCAATCTGATTCCGACCCCAAGGCAAAAATCCTCCATCATGTTATCCTATATTTCCCAGTCACTTCCTGTCCCGTCTCTTTCCCCTTCCAGGCATGCCTGCATGGGGTACTGAAGTCTCAAGGGTAAAATAAACTCCATAATTCCTGAGCAGAAGACAGAGAAGGAAGGAGCTATAGAAGATTGGTTGTGGACAGAGGTTTAGGAGCTCATTTGCATGTATCCCTGACTTTCACATAGAAAAGGGTCAGGATTTGGCCTTAATGAATTTGTGTTATAAAGTTACATAGGATTTACTATGTAATAGAACCACATTATCTTTGTTTGGCAAAATAGGCAAACAAATAAGTCATCCATATGCTACCTCATGTTGTTCTTGAAAATTCTTTGGTTGGTTGCATATTGTAAAAACAAACAAATATTGACTGGTTTTCAGGGCAAGATTGGTAAACTATTGCCTGAGGAATGCTAAAGTGCTGAGATCATTTTATTCTGCCCTAAGCCAAAAGTCTAAGGGCATTATCCAAACAGCAAGATGACTGCAGTATTACAAAGGCAACGGTTTTCTTGAAGGTATTTTGTTGGGCGGGTGTGTGATGGTGCTGAGGGAGATAGAACTGGATGGAAAAAAAGTCAGCATTTGTTTCATTGCATTCGCTCTTGTTTTTCACATGGCTAGAAAATGCCTTAGGAAATGCAATCAGATATTTTGTTGTCACTCAAAATGTATTCTTGATTCCACTTCGTATCACTTTATAGTCAACATGTTGTTTACATGCTTTTGTGATCATCACATAAGAAAAGAACAGAACACTTCAAGCTTAAACTCGTCTAACTACTGTATTTGAAGAATTTAAAAAAAAAATTAAACTCCAATGGATGTAAAGGGCAATAAGAAAATTGTATTAATATAACAGGATTTAGGGGTTTATACTTATATAACGCGTTTTATCTAACAAAACATAAAACAAATAAAAACAAAAATACTGTATATGTGTTTGCATTGCTGCATTCTTCTATACTTACAGTTTTGTAACTCTCCATAAAAAGTGGAAAATGAAGGGCTGAATGTTTCTGAACTTCTCCACTTGTTACGTACAGATTCTAATTTCGGTGGACTAAAAATCAAACAAACATTAAATCACTACATAATACGTACAAAAACTTTGACAAATGTACCATTAGCACGTATTCAATTCTATACACTTATAACAGCCACCGCATTATTAATTATTATTCTTATTACTTGTAATATAGGAACCGATCTTGTCACAACCATGGAAGGCACTTACTTTTGGGAACAGTCCAATGCCCAGTAGTGTTTGTACATTTTGGCCCTTTACCTGCTATTTAAAACACACACACCTAAGCACACATATACAAACAAATCCTGAAAGGCGATAAGCCCTAGCAACTCTCATTAACTTCAACATTGTCCATGTACAGATGGAATTAGAAGATGATTTTCAATGACAGAAGAACTTTCATCAGTTCCTAAGATATGTAGCTATTCAGGTGAGAATATTCCCTAAGAATACACAGTTTTAAAACAATGGTGAATACACTGTGAAGTTAATACAGGATCAAATTCTGCAGTCCTTACTCATGCTATATTCCTACAGTGTGTAGTGACTTGAGCATCTGGCCCACAGAACTTACTATGAAGAACTTTTTCATATTATTACACAAACAAAATACAATGAAAATTATGTATTCAGGTTCTTTCATGAATTATTTGTACATCTTTACTTTTAGTACTGAGTAAAAGTCTTAGTGCAATAGGCAATTTGACTTTTAGAGCTAACTTTTATGATATTGTACAAAATATATTTTAATTGTACATATTAAAAGAATGTATTTCCTTTATTGTTTTTCCCATTCATTTCAACTAGCAGTAAATCATAAAATTAAAGGAGGCCTAACAATACTGAATAATTCTAGAAGCCTCCTGTACTTGACAGTAGTATCTTTAAGGGATTAATATGGATACAAATTTCAAAAGGCAGAACGAGAAAAAAAAATCTTTGAAGATCTTTTACCTGCGAGTTTGTCCTGCTCTTTCATGAGCATATTGATAAGAAGTAGAATAATGCAAAAGGTCTATTGTAATAGTAACATGGCTAAAAACCTTACCAAGCAAGCATATCCCAATTGCTCTTTCCCATTTTATAAGCAGAGATATTTTACTGTAGTTTCCAGTGTAGGAAAGCTGATCAAATAGCAAAAAAACAGATTCACAAATATTTCCATAAATTAAAGGACTCAGCTCAATTCATGATGATTTCTTGGCTCATGTGATTTGTAATTTGTTACTGTTTATGAACAGCAGACTTCTGTCAAAATGTTTGTGAATCCCAACAATGTCATTAATTTTAGTACAGATGACTACTGGTCTGAAATTCTGCACCAGAAACATGTTGCTCACTGTTCATTACTCTCAGGTTCAAAAAGTTTCAGCCATCCAAGCAGGGAGAAAAAGAGATACTATGTGACTTAGGTGACCAACTAGACAACACAAATAACAAAACAGTAAGTAGTTAACAGTTCATAAACAAACTATAGCTTGAAAAATATTGATCCAAACCATTAGGTGGAAACTTACAAATAATAAATACATTGGAAGAAAATCAGGATGACTTCATGTTCTATGGACCATTCATATTATTATTATTATTAATTTGTGCTGAAGTAGTTCCTAGGAGCCCCAGCAATGGACCAGGGCCCAGTTGTGTTATGTGCATTTCAAACTCAGAACAAAAGACAGTCTCTGCCCCAAAGAGTTTACAGTATAAGTAATCTACCCTTGCTTTAATAGCATTGGCAGAGTACCATGGAGGTAAGTTGGGCTCCCACCCAAACCCTGCTCAGGGTGGCAGTTGTTGGTAGGCTTTTTTCCACCCTGATGTTGTTGAGTTTGAATCCCTCTGGCTCAGCACTGGATCCTTTCCCATCTTTTCCTCCAGTAGAGGTACTGTAAGTATCTTGTCTGCATCAAACAGACCATCTGTTCCTCCAGCCCTCTTTTTCCCTGCCTTACTGATGGGTTCTTTCAGTGGCATGGCAAATTGGAATTGAATTTTTATTTATTTTTCCAATGAGCATCTGGTAGGCTCAGCTGGGCCAACCATGCTACTTTTCATGATACGTATGTGCTTGTGATTTAAATTAGACCAATTGGGCCAGGTGAACTTGTATAGTTTCACTGCAACTTTTAATTGGGCAGGAGTCCATTACTGAATGGCTCATTACCCTTATTGTGGCCAGAGCTTATCCTAATGCTGAGCACAAAACCGGCAGTGAGTGAGGATGGGTTATGTGGGGAGGGCTGGGAAAGGAGACATTGAGAACAGATTATTGCATCCCATTGTCACATCCTTAGTCTTTGCAAGAAGGGACCAGGTGAAGGCTGAGTCCGAAAGTTCTGAGGCATAACCGAGTCCCATTCGACTCTGGACATATTTTCAGAGAGCAAAGGAAACAAGGGTCTTCATAAGTTCCTATGAAAGGGTTGACTGCTGGGTAGAGAGACGGACATGATTTTGTTTCTGTATTATTGGTTAATGAATTAAGTTAATAAAAATTGGGCCAGAAACTCAGCTATTGTAAATTAGTGTAACTTCATTGAAATGTTGTAAATCAATGTAACTTCATTGAAATCAATAGAACTATGTCAAGTTACTCCAGCTGAAGGCTTGCCCCATTGCACCCATTCATTTAAACCATGAGTTAGTGAGTGGCATCTTTATTCCAGCCTTGCAGTGGTGTGATAATGGATACATTTCATAAGGTGTGGGCAGACTGACCCTTTAATCGCTGTTCTTAAATTATAAAAAATATTTCAGATAGCAAATATTATTGAAAAGCCTTTACTATTACTCACACAGAAAGAAAACACTGTCATGGTGAGGGAGTACTGGGTCCTTTGTTTCCTTGCCTGACTTGGAGTTTTGGTAGCACTTCTTTAAAAAACCCCAAAATCTAAGGAAAACTGGAGCTAATTCCTATGGCTGTACTCCATTCCTCTCCACAATGACAGCTAATTGTTGGTTTAAATGACCTCAACGCTTTTGTCTCAGTAACCTTGTCTAATAGTTCCACTCTACACAATTTTGATTCTATGTGAATATAATGGTTCTTGACTGTGACAGGGCATTACTCATAGTTTTACTGATGCAGGGAAGCAATACAAAATCCTTTACACAACCTGCTCTGCTCATATCTTGCTTATTCAGAAAAAAAACAGGTGGTGGGGCTGACATTGTGACTGAAGTGTCTAAAGTCTGGAAACAGTTCCTGGAGTTCAATGAGGGGGCAAAGTTCAGTTTCGAACTATACTAGGACAGAGAGATGGTAGAAATGAGGGGAATCTTATTAAGATGTCATCAGCATCATAAGAGGGAAAGGCTTGAAATAATTCAGAACCTATGGGATCAACTAGCTGTTGGCAAAAATGCAAGAGTTTTTGCAGTCACTGTTGTTAACAGTGAGCTGATTAGGAATTCTGGTGAGATATGCTGCGTAGAGCTTGAGAAAATAGACAACATATTGCACTTCGCAGAGAGGCTATATGAAATTTGCTATGTCTGAGAGGCAAGGAGTAGCAGTGCAGCTTGAAAAATGGGCAGAGCTGACTATGGTATGGCCAAAGCAGCCAGGAAATGCACTGGTTCTGCATATGCCCTTGGGCAACCTCTATCCTAACTAAAACTCTCCTTTGCTGGAATGCCTATAAAAAACGTCACAATGCTTAGGTCACTAAGCTACTGAGACCACAGCCTATCATGCTGACTAATATTGTCTCACTGCATCCTTGTACTCCCCCCACCCCATCCATATCCATTTGTTTCTTCTTGTCTTATATTTCATTTGTAAGCTCTCTGGGCCAGGGCATCCACCTGTGACTGACCTATTGCCCAGAATCCTAAGAACATTAACAAAAAGCCATATTTTCCCCACCTTTGCTAGCCTGCCTCTTATCCTGTCTGTCCATGTCAAAAGCAGCAAAAGTGACCATCCTTCACATCTCAGCCCTGAGCAATACAACTAACCTTTTCCTTCCTGCCTAACAAAATAAAAGTTTAACTGATCTCCTCTCTTTTAAAAGAGACTTTGATAGGCTTTGGTTAAATTTTTTAAATATGAACATTCAATTTCAACTGTAAAGTATCTTATAATTTGCTTTACCTCCTTTTCTCTTGTGTATTCTAACCAATAAATCTCCAACTTGTGGCATGCATTTCTTGTGTGTTTGCCACGAACTAAGCAAACTGAAGTATCTGTACCCCAAATCCCGAACCCTGGTAACATTGTCTAATGTTGGACAGTGACTGGGTCATGCTAATACCTTTGACTCTTTATACTTCATCTAAATTAATGGAAAACCACATGGCAACAGAAACACTGCAGTCAATTGTCCCTAAAGTACTCAACTGAGATCGGTCTAGGTTTGCTGAATAACAACAGTCTATGGATAATATCTATTGCCTGATTAGTGTGCTCCACTTGGCGTGGTCAAAGAATGTTGAACACGTTATTTTCCCCTTGATGCTGAAAAAGCATCCAACTAAGTAAATTCGTTTTGAGTAATCTAAATGGAATTTGGGACAGGTTCTCAAAACATAGGGGCAGATGATGCATTCAGCATCAGCTCCCAGCAGCTGCCTTTACTATTGGGTTTTCGTCTCTTTGCATTAGGTAGGGGAACTAAGCAAGGTTGTTTCTGTTTCTGATGTTTAATTTGCTTTGGCCATGGAGCCAATGCCTTGTGTGGCGAAGGAGTCACGTCAGCTATGGGGAATGGAAGTTAGAACAGCAAAGAAGTCTGCCCTATATGTAGCTGGCTGTGCTTTTATTTTGAAGGGACCCAGTAGTTTACTTTCAGTACTGAGGAGAAAGATGGATCTTGAGGTAAAGGCATGGGAATTGGAGCTGGGTGATCCTAGTTGTATTCCCAACTCTGACTCAGACCTTGACAAAATCTGTGTGCCTGTGGTTGCTCTTCTGTTAAACAGAAAGATAATACTTACTCCTCTCATATTCTGAGAGAACACCTAGTTCCACCAAACTTTCTCCCTACTTCAGAGAATGTCCATGGAAATAAGCCTTAACAAGTTTGTTGCGAGCTCCATTGTATAACTGTCTATATTTAAGAATACAAAAGCCTAAATTTTTTTTTCATATCTTTCCCTTTATTAAGGAAAATAACTGATTAGAAAAAGTTCTTACCTGTCAATTCTGCTGGTGAATTCCAAAGGCAAAGTAACTATCCTGTTGACTAAAGATACTCTGCTCAATAAGTAGAATACCATTTGTGATCCTTGTTTGCCATCAGCATTATGGTCTAGTCCATATTTCTTTCCAATTTGTCCTTGGCCTGCAGTGATGTACTTGTTTGACAAATCTAGTACTTTTCTTGAAAACAAGTTAATTGGCACGTGTTCTTCCACCACATCACAGTGATTACAATTCCATCCTGGCAGCATTAGTGATATGTGATTTCCATTTGATACTAGTCCAAAAGAAACTGGACACTGAAGTCTGAAGATATCTAAATATCTAACACAGTGATTGTCTAATTCTTTATCCACACCCCATGGTAAGAGACATGACAAAAGCAGTTTAGCTGTGTCTGTGGTGATGTTAGCATCGATTTTTCCTGGTGGCTGCAGTCTAATCTTTTTCGAACTCTTCATTTTTTTATGTCTTTTGATGCCACCACTTTCTTCCAAAGACCTTGCTGCACTATTATCCCTATGGACCTTTTTTTCACAAGCATTTTTTACTTGTCCATCCATTGGGAAGAGAGAGCCAGCAGTTTTATTTCTTTTTAACATTAGTGTCCTTTTTTCTGCTGTGCTTTTGGCTCTTTTTAAAATGTCATAACTGTGGAATGAATTTGATGATTTCAGTCCACTGAGTTGAGATGACAGTAAAAGTTCTACAAGTTTTTCCAGATCAAATAAGAGAACATGAAAGCTTATGTTGTTCCATTTTGTCTTTACTGGCAAGATAGTAAAAGGCTGTTGGACATGGCTGGTACCAGTTTGCTGAAATAAAAAAAGGTATGTATTAAATGTCAAAATCAAAGCCACAGTTACATAAAACTTTACCTAGTTCTAAGCTTAGAGTTGCATATGGAATAGGCCAAAATCATTCCTCATTTAGCTCCACTGATTTCAACTAAACTACACTTATTAATTATGTATTCCCAGTGGCATGACTATGTACTAGGCACTTTCCAAATGGTAAGCACAAAAATAAATGCCTGCTCTGAGTAACTTACTAGACAGGTAAGTAGAGAGAAGCAAGGGAAAGGGGAGTAGGAACCATAGACAATTATAGGAAATGTTGTTAGTGACACCTATATTTAAGGGTGCCTAACCCTTTCCGTGTAAGATTCTGTATTCACTTGGTTATAACTCTACCAAACTTTTACAGTTTGGGCTGAAATTTTCTCTGCTGCCTCAGGCTGAATTTTTTTGGAACATTTCAACAAAAACATTTCAGCTGTTTCCAAAAACACACTTAGGAAAAAGTATATTTTTTCCAATGAAGAAAAAGTCTTACAATCATTTTCACTGAGAAGCTCTAGCACCTCCCGGCTTTGGAGCAGGGACTAAAAATTTGTCAGGGATGTGTGTTTTGCCATCCATGTGAAAATCCACTCAAATCTGGCCAAGGTATAAGCCTCTGAAAATATCATGACACACATCTCAGTACAGGTTTGTGAGGGTATGTCTACATTGCAAAGTAAGCGCATGCTTAAGCTTGGGCTCAAGCCTAACCCCCTGCGCTAACCCAGGGCTTGGACACAGGGTCACAAGACCCTGCAGGGCTGCAGGGTCCGAGCATGGGTCAAGCTGGGACCCAGGGTCCGAGCCCTATTGCTTTGCAGTGTAGATGCAGCCCTGCTTGAGTCATATCCTGGGAGTCTGCCAGAAGTATCCCACAATTCCATGGGGCAATTTCCTTAGTCCTCTCTATCCCAACAATCTCCCTTGAAAACAGAAGCCACACACACACACACACACACACACACCCTTGACATAAGGCAGCAGCTCAGGTCAGTGTTCACCCATTCTCTTCCGATCACCAACCTGAAAGCCCACCATCGGAGAGCCTCCTGGATTTGCAATGGAGACCAAACAGAGCAAGCCTTTTGCAAAGCATGCTGCTTCATGGTCACTGGAGCCCAGCCAAATTTTGGTGAAACTCTGGTGCAAGGCCAGTAAAACTGTGGACTTCAGCAAAAGCACTAGGAATGACAACGCATACCACCAGAGAGCTAAAAAGCTGGCAGCTTTTCAGATTTTCCAGATAGGTGATCAGTGCAGGGAGTATATTAAGAGGCTGAAGAGTGAGTAACGGAAGGCCAGGGACAAGAACTGCACCCTGGGCAACTTGTCAATGACATGCCCATTTTATGAGTTTGACCAGGTGCTGGGCACTGTGCCCAGCACAGAGCCAACTGTGCTTCATGACGACCTGATCAGCCAGGATGGTGCCCTGCTAGCTGCTGAAGCCACTGTGGGGACTGATGGGAGCCAGAAGCAGGCTCCAAGTGAGGTGCATGAAGTGACTCCGTTCATGAAGCCAGCCCAAGAACAGGCTATCGATCAAGATCAAGAGCAAATTCTACGTCCCTACTCGGAAGAGCTGTTTGTTCCCCCTGATGAACAGCCTGGTACTGAGCCTGCAGCAAGCCCAGTGGAGACAGAAGCCACCCCAGAGCCTGGTCAGTTTATGATTCCAATTTACAGTTTATTATTACAATCAGTGTTTCCCAAACTTGGGACGCCGCTTGTGTAGGGAAAGCCCCTTTAGTAAAAAGGAGAGATAAAAACACATGCATGCTCCAAGACAACCACTTCATGGACACATTCCACCACCCAAGAGGTGGAAGTCCAGAAAGAGTTTTGTGTCTGGAAATCCTTTACCCCACAATACCACCCTAGAAGGCTGAGTAACAAAATGGTGGGAAATGCTAATGATCTTGGAGAACCTGGTTCCTTCGGAAAACTCCCCCAGGCACTGACCATGAACAAAAACAATGATGTACTCTAAATCAAGCTGGGATGGAAAGACTGGTAACAATATGACCAAGTAGAAGCTGAGGAATGACCTTTGAAAGTGGAGTTCCAGAGCAAACACTTCCACACTTCCTGATGCTGTGCTCCCTGTCAACATCCTGTACCTCCAGATAACTATTTGAGATAAGTGACAACACCCGGTCTTGGCTGCAGTTTTGGAATGACAAGCTACAATGATGAGAAGATAACAGGATGACTGGTAGAAGTAATAGGTGGCAGAGGTCTGTGTGGTTTGTCTATAGGTCTAACCACGCTGATGACTCATGTGGAGGTCCATGTTATAGAAATTCTGGTTTTTCAGTGTGCTTTAAAAAAATATATATATGTAGGAAATTCCATTAAAATCCCCCAAACCCTAACCTATGTTAAAAGAACATTAAGGTTGCAAAATCAAGTGGACAACCACAGTTCTCCCCCACCCCCTCCCGCATCATGCATGTAGGCACTAGGATACAGTCTTTAATTACATAACCATATTGTAACAGGGTCCATGACCCACCCCTCTTCCTGGGGCCCGCTTGCTGCCCCAATAAGGCTCAGAGAGGCTTCAGGGTTGTTGTGACGAAGTGGGACTGTTCTTAATGTTTTCCTCAGTTTCCCCTATGCAGTTCTTAAGTATCTAGGTGGTGGGATAAGGGTGTATGGTTGCTGCAGAGTAAAGGGCCAGTGTACATAAATGCCCGACATTCTGTCTCCTAGCAACTGATGGCCTGGGTCCCTCCTCTGCAAAGGTGCCAACTGAAGGTGTTGGAGACAAAGGGATCAGGTGACCTCCTGGCCTGGGAAAGAGACAAAGCCCAGAGAAGGAGGGGCTGGACGGGAGTTTGAAGCTAGCTGGGGACTGGAAGGGAGGGCAGACGGGGGGTCTGCCTCGCTGGGCCCCAGAATGGACCCGGCGGAGGGGTCCCATCCGCTGTACCTACAAGCTCTGTTTTAGACCGTGTTCCTGTCATCTAATAAACCTCTGTTTTACTGGCTGGCTGAGAGTCACGTCTGACTGCGAAGTGGGGGTGCAGGACCCTCTGGCTTCCCCAGGACCCCGCCTGGGCGGACTCGCTGTGGGAAGCGCACGGAGGGGCATATGCTGAATTAGGGTTACCATATGTGGAGTGTCCCAAAAGAGGACACTCCACAGGGCCCCGGCCCCGCCCCCCTGCCCCGCCCCCGCCCAAACTCCGCCCCCTCCCCAAAGTCCCCGCCCCAACTCCGCCCCCTCCCCTGCTTCCCGCGAACATTTGATTCGCGGGAAGCAGGCAGCAGGTAAG